TAGTGAATGCGTTATAAATCCATTTATCACAGCGCCCCACGTGGAAGGATGCGCGCGCAATATATGCGCAAGCATTTGTACATTCCATTCTCACACCATTTCCAAATGTTGCACGTTTAGGGTTTGCTGTGAATTTTTAAGAAAATTTACCCGCCCTTCCACACCCCATATTACTTTGACTTGTTTTCTGCGCCGAGTTCTTTTCATTTCAGAGAAAGAGGCCTAAGGAGCCAAGCTGTCAATCATTCTAAGACCTTGCCTTAGTCACGACCGGCCAAAGCTGCCATTCCTCGCCATACAGTGATGAATGCTATCGTGATGGACACTTCCAAGTACCAGAAGGAAGGATTTCGCTCACCCAATCGTATTGGCTTATTGACTCTAAACAGGGTGAAGCTGCAACACGATAACTATCGATCAAGGACTAGACAACACCCATCGTCACGGCTGGTCATCTTATTATGCGGACAGTATTGTCTCTGTAATTGACAGAGCGAAGAGCCAGTTGGAGAGATACATCGTATAGCGCTTAACACAAATCATCTTGACACGCGTCGCTGTTAACAGGGCGCAGCTGCAACTTGATTATGTGGATAACTTATCGATGGAAAACAACTAATTGACTTGATAATTAACACAGAACATTGATTAATTTATTGAAATATTGTTTGGCTTAAACATAAACTTACTACAATTCATTGAATTGAGTGAGTATTGATTGATTGAACATTGATTGATTGAACATTGATTGATTGAATATTGAAACATTGATTGATTGAACATTGATTGATTGAATATTGATTGATTGATTTAATATTGATTGATATTATTGAAAATGGATTGATTCATTGGACTGAAACTTTTTGATTGATTCAACTGAATATTCATTAATTGATTGGATATTCATTAATTGAATTGATAAATTTATTGATTGATTGATTGAACTTGATATTGATTGATTCAATTGAATATTGATTGATTGATTGAATATTGTTTTATAAGGCTGGCGCACCGCAAAATTTGGAAAGCAAACGCCAGTCTTATAGTGTAAAAAATGACATGTGTACAGTTAATATTGATTGATTGATTGTTTGCTTTGATTGGAGGTGTGCCAAAAACCAATTGGGTCGGCACCCACTGAACACATGTACCTTAAATATTTGATCTGCAACCAGCCGTGGCCATATGATGCCAAACTTAATAAATAAATAATTAAGAAATGGTGTCACTTGTTTTTTAGTGGTAGTCTGTGATAATGAATGAATTCGCCTCTGGTCAGATTCGTAACAGATGGGAATGGGAGAGTATATCAGTTATGAATTTGCTCCTGGTAAGATTCACATTTCATCATAATTATTCCTTTACAAAGCCTTGACAAACTGCCTGCTGTAAAGACAAAAAAAAACAAAAAAACAAAAACAAAAAAAAACAAACAAACTAGGGATGCATACTTTCTTTAGAAAGTCCTGACGAAGTACCTGCGGTGAAGTTTAAAGAAATTGCTTTGGATCTCCATTTATTGTTTTATTTGTTTATCAATTTCTCTCAGTTGATATAATTAATTCCCATATAGCTCAATAGGTTTTTACTTTTTACATAGAAATTGAAGCGAGTTGGGATTTAATTTGTGAAATTAAAGTACCGGGTATATTGATGCATTTACTTAATTTTTTTCAGAAAAGACAAAAGCTTTCACCTTTGATTAATTAATTGATATCTACGCTGATGAAAAGTCAGTAAAAGTAAAAGTCCATCTAACTTTGTTTTATGAATGAAAAAAAAGTTCAATGATAAGGCAAAAGGTGGAGGCAAAGAACCGTGTTTGATCTCAAAGAAATCTACAAATAATACATATCTGTGAATAGTGCATACATCAAAGTGGGGTCATATGTGTAGGAGGAGTAAGCATCCTGTTGTCAAACCCGCCGTGAGCCCTATTTATTGATCAGGTATACACAGCACTCCGTAGTCGTATTCAATATAAAAACAAAGGTCTAACAATCGGTATGAAACTTGTCAGTGAAAATGCGACCCAAAGACACAAGTAGGTTATTTTTGCTAAGAATGACATTAAGACATCCATAGAATTGACGAAATGCTGACTGTAATCGAGGTTGTTGATATCCCTGTAACATTAACGTTTCTGTCAGTAGCCTACCACAGTTTGAGAATCGATCATTAAATCAAAGTCACAGCCTACTACACCTACAACTCACTTACAGAAGATTGGCTTTGACCTCTATTTAAAGATTACGAAAAAAGACAGTTATATATGTTTCTGACAATGATATTCCATTAGAACGTGCAAATGATCTCTGGTTAAAATTAAGACATTCCCTCTGGCAAAAAGTGATTTTTGTGTCAAGTTAGAGTTTTCTTTGTTTCCGATGTTTCTTAATTCACATGCAAGTTAAGATCAGAGTCCGGATAGACAAACGAGCAGGGTGATTGCTATATATACTCTCTTAACGTAGGAAAAGGAGGGGTATAAAAATTGAATGAGTAGGGTTGGTCAAGTGATTAAATAGAATTGCAATTTTTATAACTTTTTTAGAAAAGCAAAGAAGTGTAATTATCGTTTAAAGGTTATTAAGTATTATCTATTATCTTTTTGGCAAATTGCGTAGAAAAGATGTTAAATTTCGAGGTATTTCTGTATCTATCAGGAATTTATATACACCATCGCTATCATTTGCCATCAAACGAGGATATTGCTTAAGTTTTTGATAATATTCAATAGAAACAAGGTGTGTTTGTGAAACACTGATGCCCCCGTATGACAGCTTTTGGCAAAGGTTGCAGTTTCTCAAATGCAAGTCAAACGAAAAGGTAAAGGTCAAAGGGTCAAATTAAAGGTCCCAAGGGAAAGGCCTTGTCAAAAGAAATTGTCACAATTGCCTTCAATTGTGTTGGGTTCTTTTTTTAAAAAAAAAAAAATCTTTTACCAGTCTAGTAAATGGATGACCTTTGCCAATCAAGAAAAACAATACTTTATAACAATAACAATCTATTTACAAATGTACAAAAAAAATCAAAATATAACTCGGGCTCCGGTGGTATCGAGGCTAAGGAGACATCAGATGAATGGCGCACAGTAGACATCAGATGAAACACACAAGAAGCTAGTGCAATACCATAATGTCACAGAATGATCACTAACACGTCTCCCAAACGAAGAACCATATTCATATAACATGTCGGCCGGAAGTACCAATCATCACCGGAAGTAGACGTCATCGGATTCAGGAAGTTCTCTTATAACGTAGAATTAACATCAGGGAAGGCTATCTACATCTACTAAAAGGTCACCTATTTAAAATATTGAACAACTTCATATAATAAACTAATCTATCTTACATCATAAATTCTCACTAACGCGCGCCTAATCATAACGTATACAAATGTGACAAAAAACTATAGTATAAAAATGGTATTCCGTTACTACGCTTGTATTTAAACATATAAACATTAATTTACGTCTTGTATCAACAAAAATGAATACAACAAATAAATACTTTCGTTTACACAATCTTTCGAAAAAAAAAAAAAAACAGAAAAATAACACTTACTGGATTATAGTCACTCACACTCATAAATGCAAAAACAAAAGGCCCAGGTTTCAAATGGTCCACACAGGTACCAGTAATGCACCCCATTTCCACACAGCATGGGAGCCGCCCAATCCACTAAGTATGGGTCATAATTTTACACCGTCCACACAGTTTGGTGTCCAGAACTAATCTGACAAACCTGGCCAAAACCCTGGATAAGTGTTACTATTAATATCATCAGACTTGACAAACGGGTTTACCAAGCGATGCCGCAGCTCTTTATGCTACAATTCAGTGACCATCGATGCGTGCAAAGTTAAACACTCCCCAATGTATGGAAGAGCATTTGGAGCAATATTTACAATATTGTGACAGAAATATACGTGTGAAATATTAAAGCCCAAGCGTCAACTGTTCAAAAAGTTATGGCCGGGGTTAAAACTTTTCAAAAGTAGGTTAAACTCCAAGGTCAAGGTCACAATTGTAAGTATTCGAAGAAAGGTCTTGACACAAGGAATACACCTGTGAAATATGACGGCCCGAGTACTGAGTGTTCAAAAGTTAAGCCCAAATTAAGGTTTTTTTAAAAGTAGGTCAAACTGAGCGGTCAAGGCCCAAAGGTAAAAAAATATTTGTATCCACAGAAAGGTCTTGCCACAATAAATATAAATGTGAAGTATGAAGGCCCTAGCACCAACCGTTTAAAAGTTTTCGCCAAGGTTAAAGTTGGGTAAATTCTTGCAAAATTAGGTCAAACTCCAAGGTCAAGGTCAAGAGGTCAAATGTATTGGTACCAAAAGAAGGGCCATATCACAAGGAATACACGTGTGAAAAATGAGAGCCATAGCGCCAACCAATCAAAAGTTTTGAGCAAAGTTTAAGTTTTTGCAGACAAACAGGCAAACAGATAGACAGACGGACAGAAGGATGGACATGACGAAAATGTATATCCCCGAATCTTCGATTACGGGGGCATAAAAATAGATTCCCTGAATTACAAAGACAATGCATCGATAAGATATGAAAGTTACAGGAAAACTAAAATTGATATTTGTAATTGAGTCCTCTCTAAAGCATTATTTTAATTTGCGATAAAAGCCTGACACAAAATATTATTTCCTGCTAGAGTAAAACTAGATCTTGTGCAAAATAAAAACAGTTATATGAGAGCATACATTTTGAACAAAATTATACAAATCTTGTACAAAACTATACTAAGGATGAAACTCTGCAATTCAGTTTAACGAAAGGTGACTGAAAGTTTACTGAAAGCTGACTGAATGACAAAGCTCTGTCACTTAGTGACTTTTCCAGATCTTTCAGTCATCAGTCAGTTGACTGAATTGTGTAGGTTCAGCCTGCGATCAACACAGAAATGTCTTCTTTTGGTAATTTATTAAATAATTCTAATTATACAATGGAAAATGGTTTTCACACAATATCGACGCTTTTTAAAAACATTTCAAAACTATCTTCTATAAAGAAACATTGCGAAAGATATATATAGCCTCATTATTCCAATTTTTGCCGAACTTTATGTTTTTTACGTCATATTGGCTGAGGTTTACAGTATTATATAATAAAAGACACAACCAGTTTCTTCTAGTTACAGGATCCTAGTTCTCCCCAGGTACATCGGCCCTCGTCATTTCTCTGACAGAAACCACTTTTATAACACCATTCATCCGGGACATTACATTCGTTTTCATTGGCCTTCGGGAGTTTCGGAGCATTCGGAACTCCTCTAAACTCGGCGTAATTGAATTTTATCTGCAAATAATTATAGAACTGAAATACTGTTACGGTAGTTTACTTAGATTGGGGAACTTTTCTTTGAGCTGTGTTTAGAGCTTCCTAAACTATTTATGTTTACTGCAACAAATATTAATTTTCTTAACGAGAAAAGGCAATTTTAAGGTAATTAGGCAAAGAGGAACAAAAGTTTTCGGACTGCTCTGTGAATAACCAAAAACATTAAAAAAGAACCCGGATACAGTCAAACCTCATTTTCTAGAACACAATAAAACCCAGAAAAATAAAGGGTTTGGACTTCGATTATGTACTTCGACATATCCATTGGTGTTCGAGATATCGGGGTTCAACTGTATTCTAAAAGGTATATTTTTTCTGATTATTTATATGAAGAGGACCAAAACTTACTTTACAACTACAGTCATACTTTGTCGTCATTCGTACGATGTCGTCATCGCTGACGCTATCCATTTCTTTGTAATTTGCAATTTTAACCCTGCCATCTCTTTCTTTGGCTAAAAGATAAACAAGAAAGCAGTTTGTCAAAACATTCACATGTTGCAGCTGTTACACAAAAAATAAAAGCCCGCAGAAGCGGAAGTCTTGTAATTTTTTTAGAACTGCATTTTTTTTTTACACTCGTTTAAATTCAGCATTTTGCAAATTCTTCATTGGAGATTGCGCACAGAATAGGGTTGATTCTGCAACGTCAAAATACCGTCATTCGAACGCTAAAAGCTGGCATCCAATTGTTCGAATAGTCATTATATCATTCATATTGCGAATAATTGGTTAAAAGATATAGATGCATTTAAATTGCCCCGGTTGAGTTTCATTATAGTTTGACAAAAGTTTATAATTTATGGCTGTCCTTTTCATCATCTCTAGCATAATGTTTAAAATTAATATAAGTGTTGACTTCAATTTAACGAGAACCAGTTCTCTTCTACTTGTATCTTTCTTTTTTTATTTTCTTCTTTTTACGATTTTTTTCTGCTGTTGACAGGATTTTATTTCACATAAAAATGAGGCAAGTGTGCAAGAAATCCACTTTTGACGTTTGTGTAAGCGCGAAAACGTTAAAAATTAGACAAGACATCTACATTTTTTTGCTTCCTTTTCTATAAAAAAAATTTACTTTATTTTTTTTTTTAAATTAACTACGTATGTAAATTCATGTCGATAATAAAATGATATTGATAAAGATAAACGTAATAAGAGTAAAGAATTTATTATTATGACGTAGCATTTTTTTTATATATTGAAATAAAAACTTTTATCATTACAACTTTACCGTAAATCAGGTATGTGGTGCCGACATTTAATATCTGGGGTCCACAAGAGAAGAAAGGACCTTCACCGTAGATTGTGTCAGTGGCTAATTTCTCCTTGATATCCCCCTGTTTGTAGGTAACCAAAAAAAGATGAAGTTATATTTTCAATATATCTACTGTAAATCACTTTTTATTCACGAGAACTTTATTTTTCGCGTAATCACACGAGGCAGTGTGCTCGCAAAAATGTTATTCTCGCATATATAACTATTCCTAAAGATTGAATAGAACAGTATCCAGAAATCGTGAAAATTTTGTCTCGTCAATGAAGAGTAAATGTTTATTTCGCGAAAATAAGGTGTCGTGAAAATTTGGTGATCTACTGTAATCCAAAAAAGAGACTAGATGGTGAGAAATGGAACACAAAGTTTCATAATTCAAAATTCACTTTGGACAATCGCATGTCATTGTCACACCACGTGATATTGATTTGGAATACCTTGCATATGCGGATCTGTGGGACAGGACCCCCCTCATCATCAAGGAACTTAGGAGATATTAAATATACATAGCACAGGTTGGACCCCCTTGAAAACACGGACCAAATTCAGTTGGTAGAGAGAGTAATAAAATATAAAATATGAAGCTACACTGTAAAGAGTGAAGGAAAACGGTCCTCCCCCCCCTCCCCCCCCCCCACAACACACACACACACACATGAAATAAGTTTTTTCTTCACTTTTGAGATTTTTTTTCTGTGCTTGTCAACACATGTCTTATTTTTTGAACTAAGGTGGACCCCCCCCCCCCCCCCATCCAAAAATAATATCCTGGATCCCCGCCTGCCTTGTTGCAGCTAAGTACTTTTCTTAGCGTGCGACAATTTTCTTACAAAAAATGCAGGGAATAAAAAGAAACTTTTTTTTTCTTGCTAAGCTAAACTTTTACTAATAAGATATGGTTATTTGTGTGTATGATAGGCAATAAATTAAAATGTCCGTGATAATTGATAAGCAATACACATGATATTGTACATTTAGTATACATGTACAGTTCGCTCGCAGGTTCAAAATTCAAGGTATTAATAATTAAATAAAATATCTGGAAATATGATAGCAGAACTAATTTTCAAATTTTATCTCCAATACATCCACGTGTATATTAAAGGATATAAACTCAAAATGTGGAAAAAAAAACAGCTGTTGTAATCGGATGAAAAGTATCATTAAATCACGGAAAACGAGCAATTTGATATGTTTCAAACGAAAAGCAGCTGTAAAATGTGTTGTTGTAAATCCAGTAAACAATTATCAAAACTAAGTAAGATCAATAAATCCCTACCTTGTACACTGTATGAATGTACATCTCGTACTTATAATATCCCAGAGTGAGCTCTTTTGGGCTTTTGACTTCGGCCTCAAATGCTAAGAATCAAATAAATATAAAAATATACGTGTGTGAATAGATGCAGTTATTCATTATCAATCTCTCGGTACAATGCTTCAATGAAAACCGTTTTTGTATTCAATACAATGAACAAATAGATATTAAATTAATAGGGGAAAGGTTCAATTCTTGTTAAGGACATACGCAACGTAGTTTGAACTTTATTGTCTTTTTTCATGGAGTTGAAGAGTTCCAATACTTAAAGGATCTGTGTATTACATTTTAATGTCTATATATGCTGTTGTACACTTCTCCTAAAAGAAGTTTGGATAAACAAAACATCTATAATACATGTTTAGTAATTTTTATATATTTTTCTTTGAATTATACAAAAATTTTCATCTACTGATATCTTTTCAAAACCCCTGGTAATGCATGCTGATTTTTTGTCTACGAACATCTGATGGCACTATAATCTTACAATAAAAATATCTTGAAAAATTATCAGTAGGTAAGGCACCTTGCGTATGTCCTTAAAGGTATCGGCAAACGTACATATACGTCCTACATAATTTTATATACATGTATACAGCGTTTCACTGAAAATTGGCGTATTAACTCCAATTAATTAGGCTGTCACCGTCTGTCTGAAATTATTTTAAGTTTAATTCACCCCAAAAACTCAAAACTACGAGAGAGAGAGAGAGAGAGAGAGAGAGAGAGAGAGAGAGAGAGAGAGAGAGAGAAGAATTAACAGAAAACATAATTTTTTCATAAATAAAAATTGGAAATTATGCAAGTAACATGCATTGGCTTATTGGTAAATGATTTTTTTTTAAACACACTAAAGAAATTAAATCCAGTCTAAAAGATACAATTAATATTTTTAAATTAGTTATAATTCCATTGTTTTACGTCATCAGGTTGGAATGAAAGTATTTCTAAATCATTTTAACCTGCATTTTGAAACATATTCTTTGTTATGGGTATTGTTTTTGGATACATGTTCACGCTTATTTTGGACAATGATTTACAAATATTCAGTACTGAATTTGAATAATATCAATCTTTTTTGCTTCTTTTGAATAAAAAAAAAAAAAAGGAAAAAAAAAGAATTTCCTGTTCCATTCTATCGGCAGTTAGTTGTATAATTTCAAGCTTTTCAGCATCTTTATTTATACAGCAGCCATCCCAAACAATTCAAGAACAGTTAAGCATAGGTCTGATTAATGTAGCATATAATTTCAATAGATTTTTCTTACCAATTTTGAACAATTTTTTTCCAAAAGACCAAGATTTTTAATAAGCACAGCAAACCATCAAGATATTTAGACGAAGAAAGGTTGTGTGACAATATGACTTTGGTCTGGGACACACTTCAGTCTGTACTCTTTAAAAAAGAAGGCATAACAGAAGTGTCATCTTACAGAAATAAAAAAATCTCTGTCTTGGATTGGTTGAACATAAAAAGCCACTTGACCGTATTTCCCAAATAAGTAAATTATGATTTAACTTGTATCAAATATGTCCATGTAATTAATTGTATAATGATTGTTGAAGTGGATTATTATCAGGAAACAGTTTGCACTTTGAAAGCATATTTTCAGCAATATTATTTACATAGTTGAAAAATAATGTTTGCCTTAAGGTAGTACTTAACACCCATTAAATCTATTTTAACTAATTTCTTATAAGTACATTAGAAAAAAGAGTAAAATCACTATAATGTCAATAATCAATGATCTTTTTAAGGAAATTAATACCCTGTGACACGTTTTTCGCCATATTTTGTTAAAAAAAAAAAATAGAGAATCCTATATATTGGTCATTCGATAGCCTACATTTTAGAATGACTGTGTTTATGCCATCTATATGCGATATGACAGTCTGTTATTAAAACTAAAGTAACTTTTGATCCATTTACAGTAGAAACCTGATATGTGGACATGTTTATGAGAAGTCTCAATTCTTTATACACAATAAAGGTCAAGGCCATATTTTGAGGTTAAAGGTCAAATATTGTGACGTCATCTACTGATTCTTTTCGTTTTTTGCATTAAATATTTTTTTTAAATCGCCAAAATATATGAATCTGCCTGTTCAATGTTCCTCATTTTAACACATTTTAATCTGGGTTCCATTTCAATCATTCAGCTGATTTTTTGTAAAAAAGTTCAGAGAACTTAAAGTGTAGCATAGTTACATGTGATTTTTTAATTCCTGGGCTATGTATGTTCTATTTTTTCATCACATTTTACTCAAATATACCGGTATCAATGTCATTTACCTAAATTTAGTAACAGAAAGGTTGTATTTATAAAAAAAAAAAAAAAGCATCACACAAATTTGCAATAGATCGATCGGTAATATTTAAAAAAAAAATGCATATTCCAAAGTGCAATATCCGATTTCACAATCTTCTTACAGGAGTCTGATAGGGCATGTTTCAAACTATGTGGGCATAAAATGTGCGGTTGAATTTCTTTCAAATTACATATAAAGAGAGATTTTGTATCCTAGCACAAAATTTCGAAGTTTCAAAAAAATTGAATTTGAGGAAAAATTTGGCCTATCTACATGTATTGTATACTACCTTACGGTACACCTGCAAAAATATCTAGTTTTGATGAAAACATATCTTTATACAGTACTTTTAGTGACCTTTTACATAGATAGCTGGAAAACCACTGGAAAAGGTCGCCAAAAGATATTAATACCATACGTTTGTAATTCAAGGAGACCTTTGTTAAATACTCTGTCAAAGCCTTTGAAAGATCAGGGGAAAAAACATACATGATTTACCTCCATGTATCTAGAAATGTTGCTTTATATCGACAGTTTTAAAGAGTGTAGGAATCTTGCTTGATATCGCTAGTTTTAAAGAGTGTAGAAATCTTGCTTGATATCGCTAGTTTTAAAGAGTGTAGAAACCTTGCTTGATATCGCTAGTTTTAAAGAGTGTAGGAATCTTGCTTGATATCGCTAGTTTTAAAGAGTGTAGAAATCTTGCTTGATATCGCTAGTTTTAAAGAATGTAGGAATCTTGCTTGATATCGCTAGTTTTAAAGAGTGTAGAAATCTTGCTTGATATCGCTAGTTTTAAAGAGTGTAGAAACCTTGCTTGATATCGCTAGTTTTAAAGAGTGTAGAAACCTTGCTTGATATCGCTAGTTTTAAAGAGTGTAGAAACCTTGCTTGATATCGGTAGTTTTAAAGAGTGTAGAAACCTTGCTTGATATCGCTAGTTTTAAAGAGTGTAGAAACCTTGCTTGATATCGCTAGTTTTAAAGAGTGTAGGAATCTTGCTTGATATCGCTAGTTTTAAAGAGTGTAGGAATCTTGCTTGATATCGCTAGTTTTAAAGAGTGTAGAAACCTTGCTTGATATCGCTAGTTTTAAAGAGTGTAGGAATCTTGCTTGATATCGCTAGTTTTAAAGAGTGTAGGAATATTGCTTGATATCGCTAGTTTGAATAATTTCATCGACGAGAACGGTCACTAAAAAAGACAATATTTTTAAAGATTTCTTATATATTTTTTTTTATTTAACGTTAACATTATAATGGTGAGAAAAGAAATCATATATAAATGAAAGGAATTATATAAATACCGTAATCTGCATAGCAGTAGTCTTGTTGGTCTACCGTAGGAATGTAGGTACAGCCACAAGCTAGGGTCACCACTAGAGAAATCACGACGAGTCTACCACCCAGCATCACTGTAAATCACAGTACTGTTGTACTATTCGGTTTACTCGTAATCATAAAGTTGCGATCCTTTATAAATGCTCACCACCAGCTGATACATATATTATGTACTGACCAAATGTCATTTGAATAATGAGAGGTCATTTAAACTACTGCATCATAATGGTCATTATGAGTTTAATTAAATGCTGGACTTCATGTACATATCTCCTAAACTCTTTAATTAAATAAGCAGCTCAAATCTTAATTGCCAACATCCCTATATACTAGTATTTCACCGATGTTACCTGTTAGGTAGAGCTTATCAGTGGCGGATCCAGGAATTTCATAACGTGGGGGGGGGGGGGCAGTAGAAGGCGGGGGGATCGGGGGCTGAATTGAAGCCTCAAGCGGGTCCAGGGCAAAGCCCTGGTTGGGGTCCGTGGGCGAAGCCCCCGGAAACTGACGATTTCTAACAAAAAGGGGTGTTTTTCCCTTGATTTTAGGATAATACAAACAAAATTTTAAAAAAAAATTCAAACTGGGGGGGGGCGCTGGATCCGCCTTTGCTAATAATAAATTATATTAATTTTATGATACAGTTTACTTTTTAGCTCGACAAGTGTAAAATATAGACAGGTGCACACCTGTTGAAGTTAAAAAAATTATTTTACTTCACGTATCAGATCTTTCATTAACACGATACTCGTAAAAGTCCTTGCTCTCCAATCGGATCACGGCCGTCCTGTTATAAAACTGAAATGGCCTAGGAGTTACGATTGCTCACTCTCGTGTATTAATATACACATGTATGTATGCAAATGAATATTAATATTCATATTTACAAAACATATACATGTATATAGGGACGGCTCATTCCATCAAACGACAAACTTAACAAGCAGTCTGAGAATATTGCATAAACCTACTCCAGCATGCTAGAGGTTCACGGCGAGATACTTTTGACTTGGCAGCGCGTAACCTCTAGCATCCATTGTAAAAATTCTCGCCGCTGAAACCTCAAGTGGAAATAAATTGTTTAATTAAAAATTCAGGCTTTAAACATTAACGAATGACACAAAACAATAAAATATTCACTATCTGCGATAAAACTTACATATAAAACAATGTTTATCTCTTGTATTACCGATAAATCCATTATTTTTAAAATCGAAGCAGAAATAAAACAAGTCGTCTGTTTATAATTAAGGAATCGAATGCAGAAAATCTGACGAAACGAAACTAGTTTTCCACTATCATGATATGACTGAAATTTTCGTTTTCATCCTATCCTATAGGGTTTGGAATTTTATACTACTCATAAATGTATAAACTGTCAGAAAATTTATAGTTCTGTAACTAAATTATTTTGATTATATCATTAGAATTAATAATTATTTAAATGGCCCATAAAATACATAACACATCTTCTCAGGGGTTACGACTTTCTAGCTATTCTAGCTATAACGGTAGTTTCCATGACGTTACTAACTCTTTTAATTTGACCAGATTTTTTACTATAATGCAGACCGTCCTTCGTCCAATTCAAAGTCTCTCCCACACGCATAAAATCTTTGTCACATACATACAAATGCACAGCTCAGTTTAGATATATATCCTGATTCCAGCATTTTCAGACTTGGTTTTAGAGGGTTTTCTGAGTGCAAAACAGAATCATATTGCTACGCACTGCTCTGTGAATTTTTTTTCTTCTTCTTTTTTCTTTTTTTTTTTTTTTTTGCTTCTTTTCAACTATCGAGAACTACCTGTCTTCTGAATTTGACAATTTTTATCGAAGCAAGGTATTCCATTACAATTTTTTTCATTTGAAATTACATGTATATAACAGTTAAAATTTTATTTCGTTTAAACCCCATTTATAAACGAGATATACATATAATCAATATTAATGCGTATTGTTACTGAACTACACCATTTTGTAATTCTCGTGTTCTGTGATCCAGTTTTCGCAATTTTTGTTTTGAACATATTTTATTGAATAACTCAAAAGGATTGGAAATAAGTTTTTACATTTTACTGGTTTCTCTCCTTAAATATAACAATATGTCATGCATGCAAATTATACATTTAAATATAATATTTTCAAGTGATATAAGTGAATAAGACTTTAATGTAAAATCTTAATGTTTCATCAATAAATTTAAGGACAGCAGCAAAAATATTGTTATTAGTAAGTACAGGCAATTCTTTATCACCCCATAATAACAGGTTTGTGTCAGTTGTAACCAATTCATCAAGCAAAACAGGTGGTTGAAAATATTGTTCCTAGCATTTGCATAGTTTCTACGAGCAAAAAAATAATGATAAACATCTTCATACTTTCCACATGAACAAAGGGGACTGTTCATGATATTGCGTTTATATAGATCATAATTAAGTATACAGTTGTGTCTTAGTTTAGTATGAATTATCTTTGTGTGTCTTTGAAATGGCTTCTTTTGTTTCTAATTTTAATAAGTTCCATCATTGTTTCACAGCGTCTGGTACAAATGACCTTTTGTATAGTTGTAATCTACATCTTGGAATAATAAACGGCTCTTTATTGCGGGTATTGTATTTTGATACATTTTCATGCTTGTTTGGTATAATATCACTTAAATATTCAGGAACAGTCCCTTTATGAATTTTGAACATGGTAGTCATTTTTGCTATATAGCGCCTAAATTTTAATGTTTCCCAACCAGTTTCTAAATAAAGCGTTTCTGTAGATGCAAAAATAGGAAGTCCTGTGACAATTCTAGCCACAGCTAGTTGTACTTTTTCAAGCTTTTCAGAATCATGTTCAGAGCAACCATCCCAAACAATAGAAGCGTATTCAAGCATTGGTCTTACAAATGTAGTGTACAATTTTGAAAAGTTATTTCTACTCAATTTAAACTTTAGTTTTTTCAAAAGCCCAAATTTTTATAAGCATTGTCTACAATACCATTAATATATGCAGACCAGCTAAAATTCTGTGACAATAATAAGCCCAAGTGTCTATGGACTGGAACGCACTCCAGCCTATCTCCTTTTAAGAATAATTTCGGCAGGACAGAAATAGACTTCGTGTTAAATAAAACAACCTTTGTTTTAGATGGGTTAAATTTTAGAAGCCATTTTTCTGACCATAATTCTAAAATACGTAAATCGTGCGTTAGCTTGAATTCGATATCTAAAGTATTGTATGAACTTTGTTGAAGCGAATTATCGATATCATCAGCAAACAATCTACACATGGACATCATATTTTCAGCAACATCATTTATATATATCAGAAATAAAAGTGGTCCCAAGACAAAGCCCTGTGGTACACCTGCAAATAAATCAAGTTTTGATGACAACAAAATCCTTATACATTACTTTTGTGACCTATGATTTAGAAAACTAGAAAACCACTGAAGGAGATCTCTAAATAAACCATAAGTTTTTAATTTTAAAATGAGACCTTTGTGCCATATGCTTTTGACAAAAAAAAAAAAAAAAAAAAAACAAACAAACAAAAAAAAAAACAAAAAAAAACCAAAACATACAACATAATTTACCATCATCAATGTTTTGTACAATACTATGATATGTTTCTAATAATTGATATACAGTAGAATGACCGGGTAAAAATCCGGCTTGATATTGATAAAACAGGTTATTAATATGAAAATAATTGTACACATGTTTAAAAATAATTCTTTCAATTTTCGCAGTCTTAAATTATCTATACTTTCTATATCTAGCAAGATATATTTGAAGTTTTTATTCAAGTTAAAATGGCTTACTGTTAAAATACTGTTAAGATCTGGTTATTTTATGACGTTAAATGAAAACAGTAGTTCCGACAAAAATCTACATATATTTTGAATGATCCTTGTAAAAATTTAAACATTTTGCCTGCAAGCTTGATATTCTCTTGAAATTTGATCAATGAATTATAAATTAATTACAGTGGTTGGTCCATTTCAGGTTGCCCAGGGTAATAGATGTGTCCGGTACATTGACAAACCTATCACTGGATATCTGTAACATATGTATATAATGTAAGGATGGAGAGTTATAGTAATCTTTCCTTTTTAATTTTCAGTAAAGACTAATGAGTGTTATTCTTAGCATTCTGTTCAAAAGACCTAAAATTTACGAGTGCTTCAGCATAAATGCTTCAAAGCTACTGTCAGTTACTTTTACTATAACATGGAATAAATATCACAACATATTTTTACTCTGAATATTTCAGAACATGCTTGAACATATAAAAGAAATTAAAATAGCATGCTACAATAGAAAATATAACATTTTAATTTTTAGATTGTTAAACAATTTACCTTTACAGTTCAATTTGATTTTTTTAAGTTGGAGATATAGAAATATGTTAAAAACGTTTTTAAACATTGGTAGTTTTGTATATAGTCACACAACGTAATAAATAACGTAAAATGAGTTGTGGATGTTAAAATTTAAGGTATAGTTTGCTTATCAAAATAACATTAGAATACAAGCTAACCTACCTTCTATATTAACAAATTTTATGCATCGATATCAGATACATTTGAAGCCTTAAAATACGAGATAAGCTTACTTGTATGTTTTCTGTTCAGAGCAAGAGGTACCAAAATTTGAAACAAAAATTGAAATTTAGTAGAAGTTCTGGCTACCCTTTTATGACTTCTGTGTATGTAGTAAATCGAATCAAAATCCCATACAATCTTGTTTAAAAAAACAGCTACTTAGATTTTATGTTAATTATACAGAGTTGAGGTATTTTACAGTCTTCGGACTGTGCTCTTCTTTCCTTCTGTTATGGGTAGAAAATTCATGGTGTGAAAACTTTCAATTTTTTCATTGGTTGAAATGCGAACAAAGAAGAATTGCAATAAATGCAACTGACGCTTTAACTTTTATAGCAACTATTACTTAGTTTTTATATATTTTCATGGTTAAAAGAATGTTCTTTTTTCACGCAAACTTTGAAATTTGTGTTTAGTCCTTTTTTATCTTCGTTAATATGGTAGGGCTAATATGTCTGGAAAAAACTGTTGAAG